GTTAGAATATTTCTTGTGAGGCTATTTCAAGTCTGTCTCTTATACACATCTAGATGTGTATAAGAGACAGTGGTAATTGTTTGTAAAAAAGTGAAATACGCAGCTTTAAGTCAAATTTAAAATAATAAATATAAAATTTCTATTTATAAATATATATTTCAACAAAATATAAGTAATTAATGAAAACACGTGTTGCTTTGCACGCAAATAGCGTTGTGACGCCTACCCTACTACAGTTACACATAATTGCTTTCCATATTTACATTGGCTGCTAAAGTGTTGTTGTGCGACTTCGCTAAATACTGCGGTGAGAGACATGGCAATTGAATTTCAAAGCAATGGCAAGTTCCCACACGTGTTAGAAGTAAACAAATTACGAAAAGAGAAATACATGCATCGGTGGTTCAGTGGTAGAATGCTCGCCTGCCACGCGGGCGGCCCGGGTTCGATTCCCGGCCGATGCAATTTACTTTTTTTTTAATTTTTATTTAGTTTTCTCTTTTTTTTTATAAAATTTTTCTAATTTTTTTTTTCACAACGCATTGTGAGCGAGCAAAACCACTGAATCTTTCGCATGCAATAAAATATACAAAAATATGTTTCATGCTTACATAGCGTACAAATTACACGCAACAACAACGCTTCACAAAGCCAACAAAATCATTATGACATACCGGTCCAATAACACTTGCTTACCTTTAATGCATGTGTGTGTCTGCATTCGCATTCCTTTGCGTGCCATGACATTCATTCATTTATTAGCCGGTACGTACATAGAGACTTGAAATTCCACACAATATACGCGAGTACACGAGTTTGACAAGCACTACTATCACTGCTACATGCAATGGGACTCTCGCTGCTGCTGACCATGTTGCCCTGGTATAAATGGCATATCATGCAACAATTCTTTGAAGTTTTCAGATTCCCAAAATTCCATCATGCGATTTTTCTCTCTTCAACGTCGTCATCGCATTTATTGTTGTGAAATATTTTTTCAGTCGATCTGTTTGGTGTATGGGGGAAATGTTTAATTGCGTTATGTAAACAGTTTATTTAGCTTATTTATTTAGACATAATTTTAGATACATACATATGTATTACATACATTTCAATGTTTATAAATATAAAAATAAAGATAATTCACACTGCTTTTTAGCTCCTATGTTTGATATATTTTAACAACCATTATTAATTTTATTAAAATTAAAAAGTTTAATATTATGTACATAGTATATGCATATTATAAATTTTATAAAAATCTATTTAAAATGCGATTTTAATTTTGTTAATAATAAATAAGCATCCATTGTCTTTTTTTTTTACTAACTAACATTGGGGTGCACGTTACCGGGCTTAACCTGAATTTGATCAGGGATAATGGGTTGTTAATTGGGGTGCTAAATCAACTGTTGTTGCTTATTGTGAGCGCATCCAACATGTCGTATGTCCACATAAAGCGAACCAGGTAATATAAAATAAAATTTGTTATAAGTACATATGTATATATGTAAATCGATAATACAGAGATGTTACATGTACATACATATGTTAAGTTCATGTTAAGTYTTCGGGTCAATGTTAATTACTATGTTATTTAGTCTTATGTTGCGTAAGGACTTCTTAAGACATCACTTTATAAAAAATTAAGTTATATAATATATAAAATAAAATAAATTTTTCGTAAAACAGTTTTTTTCGTAAAAACAAAGAGATAATAGAGCTATATAAAAAAATTTTAGAAACAATAAATTTTTTTTGGGGGTATCGAAAAAAGCAATAATAAAATTTACAGAAAAATGCGTACTGCAGCGAAATGAATCGAGAAGATGATAAATAAAATAGACCTACAAAAGAGAGTTACGAACATTATTTTGTCTGATCGTAAAATGAATTCTATTGAGATAGCTAAACCAATAAATATACAAAAGAAATTTGCAGTACAAGCAAAATTTGACTCTGTTTGGTCAATATAAACTAGGCGTGCAAACCGAATCGATTAACATTTTTTCCTAGACACAACTCTGATTTATATTCATGTTAAGTTTGATCTCGAGATCAGAGGCATGGACGATGACATCTGAGTCGACGTTAGGAATTTTCGAGAGGAAGGTTCTGCGGAGGATTTATGGTCCTTTACGCATTGGGAACGGCAAATACCACACTCGATAGGACAATGAATTGTAAGGGGTATACGATGAAATTGACAAAGTTCAACAAATTTAAAAGATAGCGGCTACGCTGGCTAGGTAATGTTGTCCGAATGGATGAAAACAGAG